CCCCCCAGGGAGCTGGGTACTCATTTTAACAACCTCGGAAGGATAGAAGGCTGAGTCAACCTTGAGCCAGCTACCTGGGATTTGAACCCCAGGTCATGAGCACAGTTTTAGCTGCAGTACAGCAATTTAACCACTGCGCCACAAGCCTTGCCTAAGATTTCCCCCTATGTAAAAGTTAGGTGACCTGGTACCCTTCAAAGGTTTTTCACCGAAATTCCCACCATTTCTGACCTGCCTCACACTAGACAGATCTTCTGGAACCTATAATCTGGAGGGCACTAAATTAGTAAATGCAGTAGCATTTCCCAGCTAATCTATTTTAAGTGGAGATTCTGTTGTGTGATCCAGGAGCGTTCCACATCATATGCAAAGTTTCTATGGTACCGTTCTTTCTCCCTATTATAGAAAGTTGCCTTATGGTGAATTATATGCTGAGTGAACTAGTGAATGAACTAATAGTCTTTTAAAAAAACCAGATATGCAAATCAACTTATTTTGGCAACACCCTTCGCTCTAGAGCCCTTCCTTTAAGGGAGTGTGGCCTAGATCTAAATAAAGTCTTGCCTAAGATTCCCCCTATGTAAAAGCTAGGTGACATGGTACCCTTCAAAGGTTTTTCACCGAAATTCCCACCATTTCTGACCTGCCTCACACTAGACAGATCTTCTGGAACCTATAATCTGGAGGGCACTAAATTAGTAAATGCAGTAGCATTTCCCAGCTAATCTATTTTAAGTGGAGATTCTGTTGTGTGATCCAGGAGCGTTCCACATCATATGCAAAGTTTCTATGGTACCGTTCTTTCTCCCTATTATAGAAAGTCGCCTTATGGTGAATTATATGCTGAGTGAACTAGTGAATGAACTAATAGTCTTTCAGGTGTCATTGCAAACTAATATTGGCTTGGTAAGGTCACAGGTGCTTAATAACATCTTACATCACCAAATTCACATACAAGATCAGTAAAATATAATTTAGAACTTCAGATTATGAGGGATCTCTAAATATAAAAAAATAAAATAATTTTAAATGATAAAATAAAACGAAATATTTTGTAAAATAATGCTTATATTTTTGGATAATCCTGTGGCCCTCTTAAATTAGATATTTTTAAAGCCACAGCATATCTTAGTTCAGTTGCACAGAGTTCTCATTCTGCAAAAGTAGATGACTTGCTTGAAGATAAGCAACTGTCCTTTTCAGATTTGGGTTCATCCAAAGATACTGTTGTGTCCATTTGTTCTGAATGGTCATGGTATTTTTCTTGTAGATTTACAGTAAATAGTTCACCCCAGTCTTTGTATCCATACGTGGGCAAGGTATTTTTTGCTGGATGATTTAGGATGGACTAAATTGTCACATACTGCTCGTTCACACACCCGGAATTGCTCTTTTATGTCTCAAACACAGATTGTCCTTCTCTTTTGATTGTTTTCTCTGCCTCCTCTGTGCCTATTTCACGTTTCCTTCCTTTCCTTCCTGGTTTTACCCATCCATGGAGAGTAGATAAGTAGAGACTGACCAGAAGAAAAATATCCATAAAGAAATGTTATCACATGGCACATGCCCATAAAGTTCACAGATCAGGGAACAGTGCAGTACTACGGTCTACATTATTAGATCCTGCACTGGAACAAATCAGAACAGAACAGAACAGAAATACACCACTACCAGTGGCGGTGTCAAAATATATGGAAAGCAAAGCATTTTGTTTTGTTGTGACTTCGTTGACATTAGTTTTAGCCCTGCTTTGTTGGAACATTGGGATGCATTACCAGAAAAGTTGTAGCATACTTGACTCATGTGGATGAGTTTTGTTGCACTGCCTGGATACAGACTACAACATAGAGAAAAGTATATCTCTTGGAATAATCACACATATCTGTGTGGTACGCTCCAGTATTCACAGGAAATGGAGAAAATGTTTTAGATACTGGTTGCTAGACATTTCTCAGTATTATGCTCAGTATAATATATAGTAATAAAAAAGAGACAAATGTGAATGCTAAAGACAGCATGGGTCTACATTTCACTAGTAATTTTATCTTGTAGTTTTTGTATGAAAAATCTTACAAACCACTTGCTTTTTTTTAAAAAAAATTCTCATCCATGTAGTTTTAATTTCCTGAAAAAGAAAAAAAAGAAGAGAAAATGAGGAAGAAGATAGATATGAAATAGAAATCAACTGCAAGAATAATTGGAAGGTTTTGTGGTTTGTTTTCATAATACAGTGGTGCCTCGCTTAGCGAGCGCTCCATTTAGCGATGAAATCGCTTTGCGACTAACTTTGCGATCGCTTTATGACGTTCCCTATGGGGTATTTTCGCTTTGTGATGACCGATCATCGCAAAGCGACCATTTTCGCACAGCTGATCGGCGGTTTCAGAATAGCCGCCGGGAAAAAACATGACCACCCTCTGTTTTCTGGGACGGATTCCTCGCTTAACAGGCAGCGAAAATGGCTGCGCTATGGAGGATCTTCACTGAACTGTGATTTTGAAGCCCCTAGGAATGCATTAATCACGTTTTAATGCGTTTCTATGGGCTTTTTTATTTCGCATTGCGACGTTTTAATTCAACAGCGATTTTGCCGGAACGAATTAACATTGCAATGTGAGGCACCACTGTATCAGATTTACGGTGGGGTTACTTCCCTAAATAGATAGTGAGATGAATCGCCCTTGGAATTCTATAGGCTTTCAAAGTTAATATCTTTAGGAAAGGGTTGTTAGGTTGACTGCATTAAAAATACTGAACCAAAGTGAGATTTATATCGAGTCCTTTGACCCAGAGCTGGGGCATCTTAAAATAGTTCTGGAGGGGTAGGTATCAGAGGGGCAAATTGGATGATGCAGTAACATCAGTCCATTGCAGGGATGAGGCTGTTTTCTCTGCCCACCTGTTTTCCTAGAGAATATCCAGTGAAGGTGTGTTATGGACGATCTGGGGCAGATAATGGGAAATTTCCCTCTCCCTCCCAAAAGCAGAACCAAACTTTGCTACTGAAGAATTGTGGTGATAGCTGCCTGTTTGGATGACTTTGGAAGGGAATTAGACAAATCCATGTCCTTATTCCAAAGTTGAGCTAAACTTCAGTGATTCAAATGGATCAGTTACTTGTCAGGTTACTTGTTAGATTGTTGGCTTGCTAATCAGCTCCTTCGGGTGGTTTTTACTTTCCGAGGAATAGCCAATAAGGAAGAGATGACTATCAGCTTTTCATTTTCATTAAAGTGTGTTTGTAAAAAGGGTGTGGGATTGTGAAAGGCCGTAGTGACATTGTGGTATGTTTCATGTTCCAAGAGAGCCACCTTTAACTTGGACTCTCTAAATGGGATTACGGTTTTCATAACCTCCAGCCAAAGATAACAGGAGATGCAGAGATAATGGGAGTTGTATTCCAGTGCCCAACTGGAGGGCATCCACTTGATGGAGGCTGTTGTAGGGTATTGCAAGCATAACGCTAATCTGGATGTTTTATTTTCAAGTGATAATTCAGCATTGAGATGGTGAGGCAGAGTTGTTTAGGAACCCGGTATCCAACACCAGCAACTTTACTGTTTTCCTTTTGTTGACAGCTACACCTGATCCCCGCAGGAAATTTTCTCTAGAAGATTATTTGAATAATAGTTTTCAGTACATGTCATACAACTTGCAGTGGATTTCAGGTAAGTTTAGTCATATCATTACGGACGTGAATGAAGGCCCCCCACATGCAATGCACAAAAGGAGGTGTTTGCAAAGGGTGTCCAGAAACATGCACGTGCATGTGTACATTTTTTTTTTAAAAAAAATGCCTTTTCAGTCCTTGGCAGTCACAGCTGCCAGATGCTCACTATGTGTTAAGAGATGCTTAGCAGTACATTGTTCTCATGTGCTTACAGCTCCAAACTATTGTGTATGCATAGGCTTTTCTGGGCCATCTAAAAAGCTATATTGTATTTAAGGCAAAATGGATTTTGCTGATGATGGGCCCTTTTTTGCTTCGCACTTGGAATAATGGGAAGCAATTATCATGATGATGATGATGATGATGATGATGACAATGACGACAATGCCACGAGTCTTGTGGCACAGTGGTTAAATTGCAGTACTTCAATTAAAACTCTGCTCACGACTAGAGATGGAGACAAACTGCCAGAATGGTGGTTCGTCTTGGTTTGTGGTTCATCAAGGTCAAGGAACCATAGATTTAGTAATGTTTTACCAACAAACCACAAATCATTTTTGTCAGTGCTAGATGACTTCCCACCCCCACAGCTTGCCCCTGCCCCCTGTGACCCTTCTTCCTGCCCCCATCACCTCACTACCTTGTCCTGCTGCTTCCTCTGCCACTGCTGCCACCACTGCTGTCTTTGCAGATGGTGGCAACAGTTTCCATTCTGCCAGCCTAGCTTTCCCTCTCTGTCTGTGGGCCCACTGAACAGCTGATCGGTGGGCCCATAGGCAGAAAGGGAAGGATAGGCTGCTGGAAAAGAAGCTGCTATTTGGGCAGCTTAGCCTTCCCTCTCTGCCTATGGGGACAAATAAAAAACTACTAAATATCCCTCCCTTCGTATTTATTGGGGTCTCCAGAATTGACAAATACTAAGTGATGAATATACGAATCAGCAATTTTCTACAAATATCACAATTTGTTTTTTATTCGTCCTCATATCTACTCACAACCTGCATTTGATCTCAATGGATTCAGGTAGCCAGTTCAGTTGACTCAGGCTTTCACTCTTTCAACTTTAGTAAATTGAGTACCGTGCTTTTTGGAGGTGTGGTGGGTGAGTGGGCGATATGTAGCCTGCATAATTCTATTATAAAGCCCTCAAAGAGTGCTTAAAGTGCTATTGGGCTGTATATGAGCAGCACACTTTGCTTTTGTTTTGCAATAGCAGAATAAGCTGGTCATTCAAAATTCTTCCTTTTCTGTATAGAAATACATGTGTTTCTTCTTCTTCTACATTTTGTAGGGATCCACATATCTAAAAGACTCAATATCCTCTATTTGCTTTTGGATCTTGGAGATTCTAGCTTCTGCTTTGTGAACAAACACTCAACAGGAATAGCCCCAAGTCTCATTGCAGTCCATTATTATGAGGAATAGTGAAAAGAGTGGCCAGTAGAGAACAGAGGATCAGTGTAAAAGCTCAGCGTTGTCTGGAGCTGTTGAGTGTTACATGTTAAAAGTTCTGTTTCCAATATGATGCTAAACAGAAAAAACTAATTACATCATCGTTATTATTGCTTTCTGTTACCAAATGAATGGCTATTGCCCCCTTCCTACCTCTACAGGAAACCAGTATATCCACACAAGACAGAACAATATCCTTCTCATCAACGCTGAAGATGGCTCGGAGACTACAATTATAGGAAACACAAGTTTAGTAAGTTTTATTTATTTATTTTATTTTTATTTATTTATTTATTTTTGGACTTATATACCGCCCCATAGTGCTACAAGCACTCTCCGGGCGGTTTACAATTTCATTATACAGGCTACACATTGCCCCCCCAGCAAGCTGGGTACTCATTTTACCCACCTCGGAAGGATGGATGAATACTGTGTGTTTAGAAACAATGATGCACTGTTATGTTAATTCTGAGTCATTGTGACCCTTCCTAGGGTTTCCTAGGTGTAAAGTGCTTAGAGGTGGTTTTCCAGTTTCTCCTTCCAGGGCTGGTCTGGGACTGCACAGTTTCCCGAAGACTGCATAGGTGATAAGGCCTGTAATCCCATCAGCCACATGCACTCTGAATGATCGGTGTCCTCAGCTGGCCACTTTCCTGGGAGAAATGGCGAGGATTTAGACTCCCAGTACATGGCTCTGCAGTCAAGAGCCCAACTCACCGAGTAGTGCTATTTTGCACCACATGTAGATTGAGTCTTATTTTCAGACCTTTTGTTCTTATATCAACAGGCCAGTTACAACAGTACTGAAGCAATAGTGTCACCTGATCAAAAATACGCTCTTCTGAGATACAATTATGTGAAGGTACACATGAAATCTACTCTTTCATTTCCTTTAATCAGTTTTGTATTAGAAGAAAGTTCAGGTTTGAACAAATCAAGTCTGGAAAGTGGTTTTAATATACTATGCTGTGTTGCTCCACAGACTGACCATTTGTGGGATTTTAAAAAAAGACAGAAAAAATTGAAATTTGGATTTATTACAGGATGTTAAGTAAGAAGGATATGAAGGCGATGGACAAGCTTGGACTGTGTTCTGTCTTTACTGTGGTTTAGGAAAGCAAGCCAAGTTCAAGTTATTTACTTTATTTTGTTTCTGTCCTGCCTTTCTCCCAAATGAGAGGCGCAAGGTGCCTTACAAAATAATGGTACTGGTAGGGAATGATAGACAGATACATGAATTAAAATATTACAAACACTATGAAACATATAATGATATTAATTAACATTAAATTTAAAACAATTTAAAAACAAATAGCAGAGAAAAAAGAGACGAACATGAAGAGTTTTAAAGAAGAAGAATGCAGTATTTTCTGTTAAAAACTCTGGGCAACCCAATGAGTGTCCAAAAGCTTGACTGAAGAGAAAGATTTCTGTTTATCAACAGAAGGACAGGAAGGAGAGGGTCAACCTAATCTTCTGTGGAAGAATGCTAGGAGTGACCACTGAAAAAGTCCACTTTCAAGTCCAGTTTCTGAGAGCAATGGGACCAAGAGAAGGACCTCCTCTAAACCAGGAAGGGTTCATAGGGGGAGGTGTGTTTTTTAAGATAACCTGGACTCAAGCCCTGTAGGTTTATAAGTTCTAACCAGCACTATAAATTTGGCCTAAAAATGGACAGACAGACAGGGAGCTGAGGTGACAGGGAAGATACATGAATGCTCTTTATAAGCAGTCTTAATCCATAATCTGGCTGCAGCATTTTGAGCCAGCTGAAGTTTCCAAACATTCTTCAAATGCAGACCCTTGTAGAATGTAAGTAAGGCATGTATCATCATAGCTAGAACAGACATATCCAGGAGTTGTACATAGGGTTGTGGTTTTGAGAAATTAGTTTGTTTCCTTCAGATATGGATAAGATTCAGCTTAGCATTCATATGTAATATTAAATTTTGCTTAATGGAAAACACAAGTGTTTCCAGGTCTCATTGTAGTTATGCAGTACGAGTTGGAAGTTGAGCTTGTTCATAAAACACTAAACCAGAGATCAGTGTCTGTTAGGCAGTCCATTAGGATTTTATGGGATGTCTTGACTATGAGCACACACATGTTCGCATTCTTGTGATGAAGTCCTTATTGCTAGATTGGTCTGACAACCCTGTGGAAGGACTGAATTCTGGAGGAAAATCATCTTTCAGATTGTTGATCCACAGACATGGAGTCATTATATCTAATGAAGATAACAAGAATGTCATGATATTTGGGGGATGAGGGAGAAATAAAAGCTCTATGTACCTTCTGGCTTCTCTTGTTGCTTTCCTCCCTTATGTGAAATTGCATCTCTTGTAGGTATGGAGACACTCATTCAATGCATCATACTACATCTATGATATAGATAAAAGGTTGGTAGCATTTCTGTCTTATGAAAATGTTGTAATGGCAAAATAAGTCACATTATACTCACTGACTGCTTTCTTTTCTTTTCTTTTCTACATAGTTCTGTAATAACTGACCACCCACTTCCTACAGATATCCAGTACATATCCTGGTCACCTGTTGGTAATAAATTGGTTAGTGAATGTCATGAAGCCCAACTCAAGCTATCAGTCCTTTTACAGTGATGTTCGTCTTCTTGTGCTTGTGTGTATGTAGTTGTAACTGTACCAAAGTGGTGTATCAGTAAGCATGGGCTGATCTTGAGATTTCCAGATAACCTCCAAAAAATCTTTAGGGAAAAACCATAATAGGAGAAATCCCTAAGATAGTTCAACTGGGGACTGAATAACATACTGAATATTGGCAAGTGGTATAATCTGAGATTAAAGAGGCACTGGATACATAGGGTTAAGATTAAGTACAGGCCTTTTTTTGCTTGCAGAAATGCCTTTCTGCTTGTTGATCTCAGAGATCTGTTCCCAAAATGATCTGCCAATAGAACCAAGATCTAAGATCTACTGGCAGAAGAACCTAGAATGAGGGAATGAGATGTTGGAAAAAGGTGGGATCAAAGAGTGGCTGGGATGTGCCTGTCCCAGGACACAACTGCACTCCTGGTTTACAGTTAGGCCAGGGCAAGAATATTCCTACATGTTTCCAATATCCCTAGACTGAGAGGGGTTTGAATTCAGTGTAGCTCCACCTGATTTAGTCTCAGGTAACTCTTAACCGGTTAGAATTCCAGGGGTGGAGTGAGAGAAGGGACTAGAATGCCAGAGTTTGACCCCAGGACTTAGAAAATTGTATCCCAAATTGAGTAACAGAAAAAATGGTGAGGGAAAAAAGAACCAGATTAATCTCAAAAAGGTAGGGTGATCCATTTAATTGCTTGGATTGCTTAACCCTGAGAAGCTATCCTAAAATGTCCTCAGGTACAGAGAGGGAAAGTCGCCCTTAGAAATCAACTGAAAAATTGAAGATGTTAACAGAGTTAGGTTCGCCATGAATTTATTCACCCAATTCACCCCAAGAAGAAAAAAGCAAAATGAAAAACAAGCATCATGACAACTAAATAAAGGATGCAGCAAGAGAAGGATATTGGTTAACTTTTGAGGTGGGAGAAAGAAAATGAGGCAGGGGGTTGGGAATGGAATTAGTACCTTGAATTTTCTTGCAGGACTCTCCCTTTATTAACGTGTCAAGGGACAAATTGCTATTCAGTTGGTACATAGTAAGCTGATAAAAAATTAGAATTACCTGATAGTGAATATTTTAATGTTTTCTTTATACTAGGCTTACGTTTGGCATAACAACCTTTATGTGAAAGAAGCACCAAACACCCCTGGTGTGCAAATCACCACAAATGGAGAGGAAAAGATTTTTAATGGACTGTCAGATTGGGTGTATGAAGGTAACTAATCATATAAAAATGAACCGTTGCTTCTGATCTAACAGTAGAATGTAATTGTTGCCAATTGTTGTTTTTAATTGATAATGGCTGTATTCAAATGCAAGAGCAGTAGATTCTACCAGATGGGCGGGATATAAGGGACTTTGTGTAGTGTTTTGGCTAGGAACCAGATCACTCTGTGGAGTACTATACCTTTGAAAGAACGGAGAGTGCTTGTAGCGCTATGGGGCGAATAAATAAATAAATAAATAAATAAATAAATAAATTGGTATAATGAGAATAAGTTGCAGTGAACAGCAAGCTCACAAAGTCCCTCCTCTTATTTCTTTTTTTCACATGAAAGGGAGGAGACTAAAAGTTTTCACATTCAATTTGGCAAACCATAACTTGTGGCAAAACCAAGATTTAGATTCTGGTTTAAGATCCTGGCTAGTTAACAAATTATAGTTTGCCATATTTAGATGAAACATTAAGCTATGATTTGCTACAGATAAGAAATGAAAGTTTTTGACAGGCATGTGGCATAGCAAGGAAGAACAGTCAGCTGTTCTGAGGTTTGACGTGGTTTGTTCATCATCCTCCAAACCAGTATGAAAGTTCATTTGAAATGAGTATATAGCCATAAATACTGTAATCCAGTGGTTCTCATGCATCCACCAATATTCCTACCTCACTGGGATAATCCATGCATTAATGTCCATGGTAGCTGCTCTGAACTACCAAGACCATCTAGGCATCTAGAGAAAAAGTTTGATTCAGAAGTACCCCAGAGCTGCACAGCAGATATTTCAAGGGGAGCATGACCATAACTAGACAAGGCTACATGCCCAGATCCTGTACTTAAAAACCACCTACTCACAGAATCTCCATCTGTTTGGGATTCAGTAGAACATTCATGTGATTTATAGCAATAGAAATATTTTTTCTTACTTATGCATGTTCATCTTGTGGGAATACACTATTCAGCGAAAATCATTTGTTTGCATTGGCAAATTCTGTTCTGAGCAAATGCTGAATGCATACCATAATTGTAAATATTTTATGTAGTATATTTTAGATCCAAGCCATGCATGCAGCAGTGGATATTGCATCTATCTCAATCAAATATAAGGCGTTGGGGGAAGTCTGACTTAAAGGGAAAAAGAGAGCATATGGGTAGAAACAGGGAGATTCTTCATCTGCCCATAAATTACTACCCATTGCTAAATTCAGGGTGCCATTTTTGCTTTCACTGGTTCCAGAAAGAAAAGCTAAAAAAGTAAAGTGCTGCTTGGAGAACAGGGATGAAAAGGGAGGTTAAGTGCAATCTAGAGGGAGGGTGGAACACCTCCTACCTGTCAACCCCCCTTGCATTTTAAATGGAACAAAACCTGTCTTCAGATGGGTTATGGTCTCACTGAATAGGTTAAATTAGATGTATTTTCCCCCTTTAAATTTTAAAGTATCTGGCTTGCCTTTCCTATTTGGCACTTGTACTGGTTTCTTTCCATTTGTCTGTATCTTATTAAAGAGGATGAATTTGGACTTGTTAAAACCTGCAGAAAAAAACACCACTAGTCATAGTGCCAAAGCTCATGATAAATTGGAGTGCTGAGTACAATTCCATAGCATAGCTGTAAATATCTTATGTCATAGCTCTGAGATCCAAGCTACACTGTGTGGATATGTGTCTGTTTCAGCTGCGTTTATTAATGAAGGCAGATTTCTGTAGCACTGTAATCCCAGAAAAAGGCATTCCTGAGACTTCATATATTGTGTCATTCAGAAGACAGAGCAAGTTAGCTGAATGTTCATAGTTAAAACTAGCATCTGAAGTTGTATATGAATTAATAAGAACAATGTTCAGAGATGGAAGCCAACTTAGCGATGATTGCTTCAAAAGAACACATTTGCATCTCTTTCAGAGGAAATGTTTGGCACGCATTCTGCTCTGTGGTGGTCTCCAAATGGCACTTTTTTAGCATATGCAGAGATCAATGATACCGAAGTTCCTGACATTGAGTACTCATTTTATTCAGAAGATACGTTGCAGTACCCAAAGACCATTAGAATCCCATATCCTAAGGTCTGTGTTATTTATTAAACATAGTTGTCAAGCAGTTTGATTAAGAGAATAGTCACATTTAATCAGTCACTGTTAATGAAAATATTGTCTGCCTCTCCTCAACAGCTTGCTGTGATTACTGTGACTTAAGTCAATAGCATCTGGCAGTACTGAAGTATTACACTATCTCTAGGGAAACAGGAAATATAAGTGCAATTTAAGGTTTTGGAATTTTAAAGTTTCTGAAATGTTCTGTACACTGAAAGAAAGGAAACTTTGTCTTTGCGAATTTTGTCATACATTCACAACTCTGGCTTATATGCGCTGTATAGAACAAAGCTGTAATGCTATTTTACTGGGACATAAATGCAATCATGCTGAAACTTACATCAGATGTCAACATTCTTAATAACACCTTGTTCTTCTGGATTGTCTGCTTAACACACAAAGGTTATTTTGTCTTGAATCTGTTTTTTCTCTCTTGTAGGCCAAGCCAGATATAACTTAGTGACTGCGTTTAAAAAGTACATTTTTGTTATGCATATAAATGCCCACAAAGGAATCCTGAGCAGCCATTGATCCAGAAGGTAGTGCCTATGGAGAGGAAAGTTAACATACATTTTCTCTTCCTCTCTTGCAACAAAAATTGCTCTTTTTTTGCAATTTTTGAGGAGATTGTCCTATTAACCCTGTTTCAGCACAATAAAAAAGAGAATCCTTAGTAGCCTCTTTGAGATTAACAGGTTTTGCTTGAACTTTTGTGGATCACAGTTCAGTTCCTCAAATGCAGAGTGTACAAATTCAGTATTGGATATGTAACTGTACAGTGTACGTATACCTCTGAAGCTGAGTATTATATTCTTTTGCTCCATCTGAGGAAGTTGAATATAATCCAAAAATGCTCATGCTGAAACCATTCTACTGGTTTTAAAGAGGCCACAAAACTTCATTTTTTGTTATCCCAAAAGTTCTGTTACCTTTTCTGACAATATTATGTACATATATACAGTATATCACAGAAGTGAGTACATCCTCTCATATTTCATAAGTATTCAGAATTGGGCACAAAGTGTCAATATTTTGTGTGGCCACCATTATTTTCCAGCACTGCCTTAACCCTCTTGGACACAGAGTTCACCAGAGCTTCACAGGTTGCCATTGGAGTCCTCTTCCACTCCTCCATGACGATATCACAGAGCTGGTGGATGTTAGAGACCTTGCGCACCTCCACCTTCCGTTTCAGGATTCCCTACAGATGCTCAAAAGGGTTTAGGTTGTTTTGAAGGTGTGTTTGGGGTTGTTATCATGCTCGAATACTGCCCTGCGGCCCAGTCTCCAAAGGGAGGGGATCATGCTCTGCTTCATTATGTCACAGTACATTTTGGCATTCATGGTTCCCTCAATGAACTGTAGCTCCCCAGTGCCGGCAGCACTAATGCAGTCCCAGACTATGACCCTCCCACCACCATGCTTGACTGTAGGGATGACACACTTGTCTTTGTACTCCTCACCTGGTTGCCACCACACACGTTTGACACCATCTGAACCAAATAGTTTATCTTGGTCTCATCAGATCACAGGACATGGTTCCAGAAATCTATGTCCTTAGTCTGCTTGTCTGCAGAAAACCATATGCCAGCTTTCTTGTGTTTCATCTTTAGAAGAGGCTTCCTTCGGGATGACAGCCCTGGAGACCAATTTGATGCAGTGTGCAGCGTATGGTCTGAGCACTGACAGGCTGACCTTCCACCCCTTCAACCTCTGCAGCAATGCTGGCAGCACTCATATGTCTGTTTCCCAAAGCCAACCTCTAGATATGACGCTGAGCACGGGCACTCAACTTCTTTGGTCAGGCACACAAGGCCTTTTCTGATTGGAACCTTTCCTGTTAAACCACTATATGGTCTTGGCTACCATGCTGCAGCTCAGGTTTGGGGTTTTGGCAATCTTCTTATAGCCTACGCCATCTTGATGTACAGCAAAAATTCATTTTTTCAGATCCTCAGATAGTTCATTACCTTGAGATGCCACACGGAACTTCCAGTGACCAATCAGAGAGAGTGAAAGTGGTAACACCTGCTCTCCCTTCACACCTGAGACTTGTGACACTAATGGGTCTCGTGACACCAGGAAGGGAAAACAGCTACTTGGGCCCAATTTGGACAGTGTCACTTAGGGGTCTACTCACTTTTGTTGCCAGCAGTTTAGACATTAATGGCTGTGTGTTGCATTATTTTGAGGGGACAGCACATTTACACTGTTATACTCACTGCTTTACATTGTAGCCAAGTGTCATTTCTTCAGTTTTGTCACATGAAAAGATATACTAAAATATTTGTGAAATTTGAGAAGGTGTACTCACTTCTGTGATATACTGTACCTACCTACCTACCTACATCCCATGACAGCAGAACAGACAGAGGGCTGTGTGTATACGTTGAATGTTGAAATGAAACTGCCCATCACTGCCTTACATTACTGAACACAGATAAAAGAAGGAAGTGAAACTAAGCCAAATAATTGCCTCTTGGATTCCTTTTTCTTGAAGCTTCTTGGTGTTTCTCCTTTCTGTTTGTATTGTAGTAATGAGTACTTCATGCATGTACAGACTTACGTATGCTATGAAATGCCTTAACTCTCTCCAGGCAGGTGCTACAAATCCAACCATAAGGCTCTTTGTTGTGAATACCTACTCCCTTCCCAGGGTTGTTTCCACTGAAATTGTTGCACCATCAAACATAAAATCAGGGTGAGTCTAAATGATGCAATACATTTTGTTTTGAGCAATGTTATAGATGGTTTATCAGACAAAAATGAAAGAAAAATAAAAAAAACAGAGACTGCGGTTCCATGTAACTGAAGAACAGTATTGCAGTGTAAGAGAACTAAGATTTTTTAAAAGTATGTACTAAATGCCATTAAGAGGAGACAAAACACATTAAAGAGTTGTGTTATGTGAATGATGACTCCAGTTTTGTGTTGCAAACTGAAATTCTAACCTGTATAAGGACAGGAAAGCTGGAATTATTGCTCCATCTACTGATTAATAATATACCAAGCTGTAAGCATGTTACAACTTAATCTCTGTTAATGGAACTTATGCTGGGTAAGAGTGAGGATGTCATCAACTGCAGCTGTTTTTCCTAAATTAACCCCCCTCCTCCTTTGAAGGCCCCAAGGCTCCCTTGAGATCCCCTTAAATCTTGTACTTGGGAGCAACAGGATGGGATAGCTGTGATTTTTAGAAATTAAAGACCTCTCCTATGGCCCCAAAGGGCTTCCCCAAGATGATAGGGACCATATGTGAGCCTTTGCAGGAAGGGGTGAGAGCAGAAAATTTTAATTTATGGGAAACGGCTGTGGCTGTGACATAATCAGCCTTACATGGCACATGTTCTGCAAATAGGGATTCAGCATGTTTCCATACAATGGTGTTATGAGACTGGTGACACTCTTTTGTCATATTAATTTCCCCATAAATAGTGAGGTATTGTGACTTTAATTTCAGCATTATAATTATTCTTTATTTGTGGCTACATTTTACAAAACACTTAAGTTATGATTTATGTGTACTGGAAGGACATGTGTAATATTCCTTCCTTCCTTCCTTCCTGATGGTTGAATGTTTATTACTGTAATTCTTAACAGTTGAGGTTCATGACCAAAAGACAAGATGTTAAACATTTTTGAAGCTTGGTTTTAACAAATTTTGAGGCTTCATTGGGAATTAGAACTTCAGTATTGTTATATATTATATGTAACGCTTGCCATCCTTTTTCCTGCTGTCAACATGGACACTTTATAGGGAAGCAATGCCAGACTATTTCCTGGCATTTTGAATTGTGGGTACAGAAGCACAATATCTTACATTCATAAACCAGAGGTTTTTCTGAATGGAGTCATGTCACTCTGACATCATTATTTATTTATATATTTAATACATTTTTATCCCACCTTTTTTCTTAAAAATGACTCAAGGTGGCTCACATTATTAAAAAGATAGTATTTAAAGGCTAAAAACAGTAAGTATACAGATATTTAAAAAGAATTAAACAGGTCTTATATAAAAATGGTAAATGGTCAATAAATTATCAGAAGATCAACTGATATAAACCAAATAGAGCAACTTCTGTAATACTGTCACTATATATTGAAACACAAATGGTAAACATCAGTTTTTAGAATTCAGATTTACACCAATATGCTGATAAATGCTTTACAGTCTCTCTTTATTTTCAGGGATCATTATCTGAGTGTGGTGACATGGGTAACCAATGAGAGAATCTGTTTACAGTGGCTGAAAAGGATTCAGAACTTTTCACTTCTCACAATATGTGACCATTCTGAACAAAGTGGAACTTGGCAATGTCCAGAGGTATTCAACTTTAGCTAGGAAGCCCTAGACAAGATGTTTTTGGTAAATATTGGCATTAGAGTTAGGAAGGAACGGAACAGGGTTAATTGGAAACCTATTACATTAATGGGAATATTTTTTTTCTTTCTCCTCAGGGTAAATGGCGTACTGAAGAAAGTCATACTGGTTGGATTGGCAGAGTAAGTTTATATATAAGCAATATTTTTTGATAAAGACTACCCACAAAGCAGGTGTGTATAGTATTACACTTGGACACCACATGGCTTGAACGGAGGAGAACCTTCCTGCACACCGTTCACAGTGACCTCTGTCCTTTATATCACAGGCTACCTCATACATTAAGCCAGTGGGCACTTGCCCATTTCCAAGGATGTTTGGAAAAGGGCATTCTGTAGTGGATGAAGAAGATAGTTACAACCAAATTCTTCCTCGCACCTTGTCTTTTTCCAGTCATATATTTTTGAAGTAAACTCTGGTTGAGTTAAAAATAGTTGTGCCTCTATATGGCTCTAAAACTTACCTCTGAGGAAGTGAACTGAATATGTGTTTTGTCTGCTTTCTGTGGGATTACATAAAATTCTTCCTTCGATGGTTGGGCACTTAGGGGCACCTGATCTAACAGAACTGTAAAAATATTGTCACTGGATTTCTTATCTATTGTTAAAGTTCTGCCAAACAAGTGTCCTAATAAGAATACAGTAATACAAGGCAGATGGGTGGCAGAGTTTGTTTCTTTGCGTTGGCCAGTTTCCAAAGATGTAGTTGTGTTAGCAAGCCTCCACATATTGGCCAAAAAAAAGGGGAGGGGGCTGGGAAAGAAAAATGAAGCCATAAAACATTGTAGCACTTTAAAGACTAGCAATTTCATTTCTGTGTGAACTTTTGTGCATCAAAGTCCATTTTCTCAGAAAATGGAGTACAAACACTCTATTGTCTGTATTCTTACTTAGTCATGTAACTGTGCTCCAGTATTTGAAGTACGTAGTGGACTTTTGTCAGTCAAGCCTCCAAGTGAAATGAGACTGTTAGTTCTTAAAGTATTACACTGTTTTCCCTTCTCCCCTCCCTAAAATCCTCCCTTCCAGTTAAGCCTTTCACCTGGAGAACATAGTTATCTGCAAGCACATACGTCTGCTCTCAGTAACCTTGTTATGAAGCATCTTGGGGGGTGGATGGAAGTTAGAGTTGCAATAGGTACGATTTGGAAGGAAAATTATAAACATCCATTGTTAACTTATTGCCTGATGTTTTTGTCGTATTTGTTTTTTTTAAACTTAATGATTTTCTTTCTGGGCAATTGGAGACAGTATAGCTGTGCAGCAACTGAGGTTCGATGACTACCTGTGAGGAATGCTTGAGTTAGGGATTTTCATGATCTGGAATGGGGCTGGATTTGGTGACCCCTGTGGTCCCTTCCAGAGCTTGTCTTCTGTGATTTGACGGTGAGGGTTTTTATGTGTCTGATGGTGTGTTTTTTTAGTGGTTTTTTTTTTTTAAATGGTGGTGTGAGAAAGTTCCCTTTCTTTTGACAAACCACCTCCTTTTACCTTATTTTTCCTCCCTGAAGGAAATCTTTCAAAAATAATGTGAGGAAGAAAACCAGCAGGGATGAAACCTACATTATAAAGATGGGAGCGAATCCCACCTGCTGTCAAACTTGTTCTGGCAGAGAAAGACCTTAGAGCTAACACATTTTGCTTCTGCACCATAAAGGCTCAGTAGAGCAATGTGATGAGCAGACTGCATATGTTGTGCACAGTTATGCAAAGGAAAGTGAAAGAAAGGAGGTGCGAGAGTACTATGAACTAGCAAGGTAGAGGATGGTTTGGGCTTTTTTGTTTCATCTTTGGATTATATACAGTATTCTGTTGCCCTTCTGTCAAAAAAAAAAAAAATACAGCTTCTTACCCTTATACCATAGCCTAGATGTCAATAACGTCTTTTTTTTCTATAAAGGCCTGTTGATCCATAAGAAAAAGCAGCTGGGCACAGAGGAAGCAGTGAATGTAGCCAGAATCTTCAAAAATAACAACATTAGCAATAAACACAATATTGAGTAAAGAAAGAGGGCTGATCAGTACTGAAGACAAAGAGAAATTAAAAGGAGCATGTAAAAAGTCATAATCCTCATAACAAAAACAAGGACATTTGTCATGATGGGACTTCTCTCACTACTCATCTTCCTTCTTAAAACACTACTGGTTATTTTCTGGCATGTCAATGCTATGTTGTTGTTGAAAGGTTTGGGTTTCTTTCCTGCTACTAACTTCTAAATCACTGGAACTTAAAGCTCAGCTGTAGCCCAAGTATACATATTTATTCACAAGTAACACTCACTGAGTTCAATGAGGGTGAATTCAGTAATGTGTGCATTGAGCCCCATTAGGAAGGTTTTTTTTAACCAGTGCGTGGGATCTTTAACATTCATTCTGTCAGTAGGAACATCTCCGAAAGAAGTTATGTTACAAACCCTGCTGTTGGTAGGTCAAGGAGTCGTCCTTCATTGGTGTTGCACACACTCACTACCCCCCATATAGCTTCTAGGATCATCTCGCTGGTTGTGCTGAAAGGTACCCCAACCCTCTGTAAGAGTTTATCAGGAAATGGAGGATTGTCCTAGCATTAAACTCCACAATGGCTGGAATCCTATTGCACAGCTCCATATGTATAGCAATGATGATGTCATCATCACATTCAAATCACTGCTGATTAAAGCCTGCTTTCGGAGGTTTCAGGGTGCACAGGATTTTCTCACAGTGTATGCACCCCCAAAACATTTAATCAGCTGCAATTTGCCACTGGTGATGACATCCACATTGTGCACACAGAGCTGTGCAAGGGGATCTCAGCCAGTATGTTAAAAAAAAAGAGAAGAACATTTTTAAACCTGAAAGAAAGCAAATAGGAGCCTGAAGCAGATTGGGACTGGAATGGCAATAAAACTTACATTCCCTCCCCCTGAAAACTCCAATTGACATCAGTATTTTGGGCCAATAAGATATGATGGAAAAGGGCAACTGGCAGGATTGCACTGGTTTGTCAGTCATGATAATTTTGCTTTTGTGTAAGAAGTTGGGGTGTTCTGTTATTGAAAATGCCCAATATAGAAAGTCTATTGAATAACTATTTTAGTATACTACTGTATGTAGCTCAATGAATTGGAGAATCTGGCTGCAGACCCAGAGGTCAAGAGTTTGATTCCCCACTGTGCCTGCTGGGAGAAAAGCCAGGTTGTATGGCCTTGGGTCCTAAGTTGCCCTCAGGAGAAGGGAAAGTCTGAGTACTTTATACCAGTGGTCCCCAACCTTGGGCCTCCAGATGTTCTTGGACTACAACTCCCAGAAGCCTTCACCACCACCTCTGCTGGCCAGGATTACTGGGAGTTGAAGTCCAAGAACATCTGGAGGCCCAAGGTTGGGGACCACTGCTTTATACTGTATCTAGGAAACCTTGACAAGGGTTGTCTTAAGTCTGAATCAACTTGATTGTATGCAGTTAGTATTGCAGGTATTTAATATTTTATGCACTTCCGTTCAAGTTGTCCTCACACAACTGTACATTTATATTCTCTCCATTACGTGCAGCCTGTGTGTATAAAATGTCAGGCGACCCTTGTGTGAAACGCCAGAGACCAAGTAAAGCTTTCTCAGTGATTTCCTTGCCATGCCAAGAGTTCTCACTGAGACTTCCCTTTATACTAGCACATTTTCATAGCTCCCTGGAAAAATAAGACTTTGGTTTGTCTTTATGGTTGTTTGTTTATCACCTACGCTTTCGAAACAGGAAACCGCCAAATTTTGCACAGATCATTTCTCTTTTTGGGAAATATTGTGTATGAAAAGGTGCCATTTTCACACTTGAATTGTAATACTGTGAAGAGTTGGTGTTTTCTTCTGGGAGAAGAAATGACCATCCAAGAAACATCCAAGAAATCTCTCTATGGGGGTGGGGGTGGGGAAATCCACCCAATCTTTCACAGAGAAGTATTGCTGTAAGGAGACAAGAAGGATTCTCCTGTTCTCTCACTGAATGGGAGGGCTGTGAGAATCCCATCATTAGACCCAAATACAGTACACGCATGGCAATTCTCGGGGGCAGTGTGGATGTTTGCACCTCAGAATTGCAGTGAGGTCTTTTCCCCCTACCAGTTAAGAACAGTCTAAGTGTTACAAATTTTCATACATCAAGTAACAGGATTTCAGGCAGTAAGCCAACAGAACTTAATAGTAGTGTTGATTTATAAAATCCAATTAATTTTTATGTGACTAATCTAGTTGGGAGAACTATTGGATTTAGCCTGTGTGCACTTAATTCTAGAATATGAAGAAGGGTGTGGTTCAGCGTGGTTTCCCATTCCATAGTTAATTGCACAAGAAGTTTTACACCCAGAGAACAAAAGAACAAATGCTGCCTACTTGGCACAATTTGAACGCCTAACGAAATTGGCACATAGTTTCCTTCTACTTTCATTATTTCTATGCATTGATTTACAGTTATTTCTAGACATCTTATATCTGAAGATCTCAAAGCAATGTACAACAATGACCAAATCTGCAATTAACAATATAAATACATAGGATACAGGCCTTAAATGAATACTTGCAGGTACATCCAAATCTGGTATACTGTGTGGGTCACTAAAGAAATAAGAGCCATGCAACCACAAATCTGGGAATAAATGGCTATCTCAACTCTTCCAGTTCAGTGTATTTTACCTAGACAAATCTCTTGGTAGCCTTACTGTAAAGCATCTTGGGGGGAGGGAGGAATCACAATTGCAATGGATATAATTTGAGAATGAGATGATGAATGATCCTTGTTAGCTGCTTCATGTTTTGTCCTGTTTGTTCTTTGAAACATTTAGCAGTGTTATACTATTTGAGGAATAAAAATAGTCCATGATGAACTAAAGAAACACAGTGGTGCTTGCATTTTGTATAAATTCATGATGCATTTCTTAGCTTAAGAAACTAGATATTTAAAGGAGTACAGATAAAAAGATGGGCATTAATTAACGCATCTAGTGTAAGAAATATTTTTAAACAAACTAAAATAAAATGATATATATAAGTGTGTGCAAAGAGAAAGGGAGAGTGGGAGAAAGAAAAACTGTATACTTGTATATAAACCAGATATGTTTTTAAACCGGATGGATGAATTGATGGTCATCTTTTCATTTGGAGTATTGTAACTGTGCATATCACAACACTTATAAAAACTTACAAAGATAATTTCCAAAGCTGAGAAGTTTATTGGTTTTCTCCCTCCAGTTCCAGCCATCCGAACCGTACTTTGCCAGTGACAAGGAGAGCTATTACAAAATCATTAGTGACACAAATGGATATAAGCACATCCATTACATTGACAGCACAGGAGTAAGTAAAATATATATTGCAGAAGTGTGTTCTTGTACCATGGAGATTGCATATTCAATTTTTATCTACTTTTACTTTGAAGTGAAGAAGTCCACACCCATTACAAGTGGAACATGGGAGGTGATCAGCATTGATGCTCTAACAAATGACTATATGTGAGTTTCCACTGAAGGATTTAAACGTTAGCATATTGGGAGAAACTTTAAGCAATACAGTCTGTTAATATCTGCTGGAATTATTTCTCCATTTGGATGGAGGAAGTGCCTTTTCTTCGTTGTGAAACTGCAAAAATAATTTTTGATTTCTCTGCCTATATGTACATGGAATTGTGCTTTTGTTCTACCGTGTTAAACTGGGAATAGGTGAAAAGTGATCATAGGAAATGAATATTGTTTGCATGAGGGTTATGTGCTCTGCTACCCGAGCTGATTCTGCCTAGGCAGGGCCTGACCAAAGCATTATGCTGCTTGAAGTAAGAAACAAGATGGCACCTTGTTCCTGTCCATGTAAAAAAGAATCAGCTAGCTTAGCTGTTGGATCTTCTTCAGACTGTATGATGAGATAACATCTTCTGTCACACTTGAAGGCAGCAAGCTAGCTTAGGAGATGCAGGGTTCTGGGACACACACACACAGCTTTCTCCTCCAACACCTTGTTGGTGGCTCTCGTTATCTGCTACCTGAGGTGACTGCCTCACTTTGCCCAGTGCAGAGGTGGCTTAAGTTTTCTGTTAGGACTAGCAGAAGCCAGGTTCAGACCTAAGACAGCTGCATTATGTTTTCCACCTGAGCTGAATCTGTGTGCCTCTTCATAAATAAAGGCCACTAGCCATTCCCTAGTGAAATTTATTGAAATCAGGGGGACAGGTTACTATCTACTAATTAAGTTAATTAATTAATTGTGTGTCATCAAGTCAAATCTGACTTATGGTGACCGATTCCCAGGGTTTTCCAGGTAGAGAATAATCAGAAGTGACTCACCGTTCCCTTCTTTGGGGGCATCCTGGGACTATGTAGCTTGCCCAAGGCCACACAGGCTGGCTCTACTTAGGAGGCACAGTGTCCTCAATATGGGGCTCCATAGCCAGATAACTCAAAGCCCTCTGTATTTTTACTGTCTCCAATTATATTTGAACTCCGGAGCCTTTGTACTGAAGCAATTGAATCTGCCCTTATAGTAACAGTTGTACTAAATGCAGCACATTGAATGTGACTGAAGCCATCCATACATGTAATATTTCTCAAACGTGCCCAAGATCGCATAGATTCATTGGCCTCATGGAAATCAAACCCCCAACCTATGACTCCAGGGCTCCAACTCAGTTTTTTTTTTCATTTATGAAGTGTCTTGTAGAGTAATTTATCTAAGCCTCATAGAGCTCAGCTAATGATAACCACTGCAGTAAGACAGAAGCTCAAGAGTGAGATGTGATCGATGATCGCTCCATTTGTTCAAGATCACTGATATATGCTGTACACATTGACTAGGATCCTGTTTTGCATATGTGGTTGTGTAATTAGCGTATTTCCTATTCCCGCAGCCTCACTTTTGCCCTACTGGCCATGTACTGATGATGAAATTGGTCATGTCAGTGTGATTTCCCTTATATGCATTTACTGTAACTCTGTCAGTTTGTGGGCAGCTTGCTGTACTTTTTAAAGTTTTATTGCCTTTCTAGTAGCATTATAGAAATCATTGCATATAGTAAGCTTTTAAATTGTATGTTTGCCAGTTCCTGTTATGGTATGTCCATCATGCTAATTGGTTTTAAAACCGGATTTTATATTTGCTTCTACATTTAAAGAATTTAACCTTTTGGGTGTCATGCTATGCAATTTTTCATTAGAAATAATACCTAATTGGTGATATGAATCTAATCAATAACCCATTTATTTGCTTCACAGATACTTTATCAGTAATGAATTTGAAAATATTCCAGGAGGGAGAAATCTGTATAAGTAAGTTATTTTAAGTCATACGTCTGCTATACAGTGGCTTAAATCCTATTGCTTAGCAAGTCTTCAGTAGAGTAGGTCTGCTTGAATTAATGGAACATACGGAAGAGCTGACTCACCAAACCTCCACTGATTTAGTGGACCTCATCTTGTGATTTCCTATGCCAAGGAAAAGGATTTCAGCATGTGTATGTCAAGGTGATAGACAGTTAAGAAAAATCAATAAAGTGACATTTTATTTATTTATTTATTTATTTGATTTTTACCCCGCCCCTCTAGACAACGTCTACTCGGGGCGGCTTACATCAGTTAAAACAAGTTAAAAAAACATATAAAATGCATTTATACTAATTAGTTCTAAAATAAAAGGTTTCCAAGATGGTGGTATACAAAAAAAAGAGATATTTTATTTTTAAAACATTGGTCAAAATCCTGCTAGTGAGTTTTGCTTTAGTAAGTACAGTAGCAGGAATTGAAGCAGCAAATTGCCTCTGGTTATCAAGTCAGTGCTTGTATTTCTTGTCTTGTTCTGGTTGCATGAATTGGTGAACAACAAGAGATGCAAGTAGCCACTCCTTAACTAACAGGAATTCACTACTGCAGTTCACACCATTATATTTAATCTGACATTATTAACTCATAGGATTCTGGCCATTCTCTGAAATACTACGCTAAAATAATGCTACGTACTGTCTTGAGATTTTGAAGTTGCGAAAAACTCTTAAAATAATTCAGCTAATCTAGTAATATACATTCACAGAGAAAGAAAAGAACACTTAAGTTACAAAGCTTGGGATGCACACAAAATATGAATGGAATGAATCTGGGCAAGATTTAGAACTGAGTACTGCATGATCCTTTAGCCTACTCAGTAGAGCCATAACTGGCTAATGTTGTGTCCAAAGCAAGAATATCAAAATGCACCTCCTGGTCTCCACACATTGTGCTCTTCTCCCACGTTCCAAAAAGAACAGAGAGTTTGGGAGCAGATGGCGTGGAACCAAGATATTGCAGGAAGTTTGAAATGTGCACCTTGGTTCAGTTGGAATTTTTAAACCCTATTCTTGTGCCTCTACTTGCACAAGGCTGCCACATGGGAGCATGTAGACAGTACCCCCTAAGTTATCACTGACTACATATGGACCAATAGGTTCTTGTTCACATGTAGAAACCTCCAACAGACACATTGGTTTCCATGTGGAAAAAATGAGCTCACTATGGTTACAGGGGAGCAGCTAGCCCCTCCCCTCTCTGTCATGACTTTCTCCACATAGAAAGCAGCTTGTCTGGATAGGGAATGACTGAACAAGGCATAGGAAATGCTCCCTTTTCCTAGTGGCAGTGGCATAACTTGGACAGTAGAGGATGCCGGAATAGAAGACATTCTGGTGGTGATGTCATGATTGATACAATAACTTTTACATTCAATATGTTCTTCCTAAATTAGAAGCAGCAAGCTGAAAAAAATACAGCAGTTTAGTAGAGATCATATGAAGAGATGAAAGAGAACCTGGCAAACATGAATGGAGGATGTATACCTGCCATGGCAGTGCTGAGAAGGATTTGAACACTGTACTGGAACTTTTCTCCACATTAGTTAATCCTTGTTTGACTATTTTGTTGAAAAACAAGCTAGGGTAGTAAAAGTGTCTGCACTGGAATATTCTTCTGCTATGAAGGAGAGTTAATTCCAGACAAACCTTGGTAAAGCAATGACTTAATGGTTGTTCTAGGGAATATTCATTAGCTTTTTTTATTTTTGTTATTCACAGAATGGAATTAAAAGATAGCAGAGCAAAAACATGCATTAGCTGCAGTTTAGATGAAGAAAGGTGTCAATATTATTCAGTATCCTTCAGCACAGATGCAAGATATTATAAGCTGAATTGCTATGGTGAGTACAGCCAACTCTTATCTGACAGAAATGTGACTTACTGTTTGGGATCCTACCAACTATACAAAGTTTAGTTCACGCTGCCTGCCAATCATACGGTCTGCTGTTGGGTGTCTTTATTCTCCTTTGAGTCTGAAGAGGGCTGTGTAGCTTATAAATCACAAACTTCTTCAGCAGGTTATGACCTTATTTATTAGCTCTCCAAATCATGGGCATAATTAACCATCAATAATAATGTCATGTGACATTTAGGCATGTTACTAGTTGCCTCTCTCTAATATTTATTTATTAAAATGATTATTTTAGAACTTTTCAGTGAGAGCCACCTCCTGTTTCCTTTCCTTAAAAAAAAAGTCAAGTTCATCACATTCGTCCTGTATGTCTGTGATAATCTGCATGCCAGCATGTGATTTTGCTTAAGCTGTTTTATTACTGTTAAATTAATATAACACTAGATATCCTTCCCATCATTTAGAAGAACAAATCTCACTGCTAATTAAATACCGGGGTAGGGGTAGGGGAGCTGAAAAATGCTCAAATGTACAGTTTGATTACCTAATCAATAAGTTAATCAAATCAGCATGAATTTGCTCAAATAGCTCCTGTTTGTTCTAGAGTGTTTCTGCATACTTTATATGCACCACAAATGTAGCTCTTCCTTCTCTGGAGGTTACTTTTATTTTTCTTGGGCCCAAGCCAGAAATTATTTTACTGTTACAATTGCTGTTCACTGGGAAACATTTTCTAAAAGGTGGTGTAAAAAGTGCCACTATGCCTATACTGCACATTGCCTTGAAATGGAATGTTTTGAAAAGGGGAACAGGAAGAAAGGCTATTTAGTAAAGTTGTTCCCTCTACTGCCTAGCGTGAGTGCTGGAGTGGGGCAGCTTAGGGTCCAAGTGAGATGTTTCCTCCTGCTTGGCCCATGGACTATTTGTGTAGAGGAGGAAGCAAGAGGAACTGTAGCTTTGGAATGTACTGTATGTTAGTGTTGCAGGGTGAGGTTTCCTGCCCACCTGTATCCCTTTCTCCCAGACTGGGCACCTGTTACGGTCCCAGGAAATGAGTTTAGCTAAAAATGGGTAAAAACAGCAACACTTTTGAATAGCAATCCAATATCCTGATCTGGATTCATCGCTCTCTGCTGAAGTGAGTCTGATTGGTTTAGGATAGATTTGTTCTTTGAGGTTAGATATCAAATTAATGTTGTTGCTTTTTAAAAAAACACGGGAAGAAGATTAATGTAGGTGACTGTAAACTAGGTCTGAAAAAAAGAAAGCCTGGCTGGTCCTCAGCATATGTGGCATCAAAGTGAGAAAATAGATAGTGCTGCTGATGTTTTTGTTAAGTGTCAAATTGTTGGGGGTTGTTTGTTTTTTTCATCTTTGCTGGTTTTTGTTTCAAATTGTTAAATTGTTTTAAAGCACAGTATTTGAAATGTTTAAAGATTTTGATAAGGTGATTTTAGTGCTCATTCCCACGGCCTGAGAATTCCCAGACATATCTGTGATATGGGCTGGATTAAAAATTTGTTGATATAATTTTTAAGTGGATTTGCTGGATGTCTTAATTAAAAACAGAGACAGTTGTATTAACATTCTGCTAATGACAGGTCCTGGCCTGCCTTACTTCACCTTGCATGACAGCAGTACAGACGGAGGTATGTTTGCTCCCTTGCATTTTGTTTCCTTTTTCTTCTCTGCTATTTGTAAGGCCTCGTTGGGCAGCCACTTTGCTTTCTTGCATTTCCATTTCTTTGGGATGTTTTTTGTTGCTGCCTCCTGTACAAGGTTACGATCCTCCATCCATAGTTCTTCAGGCACTCTGTCCACCAAATCTAGTTCCTTGTGCATATTTAAGTCAGTTCCTAGTTATGTCAGAGTATTCTCTGTTGAAGGGACGTGGTGGCGCTGTGGGCTAAACCGCAGAAACCTGTGCTGCAGGGTCAGAAGACCAAGTAGTCGTAAGATCGCATCCACGCGACGGAGTGAGCTCCTGTCGCTTGTCCCAGCTCCCGCCAACCTAGCGGTTCGAAAGCATACAAATGCGAGTAGATAAATAGGGACCACCTCGGTGGGAAGGTAACAGTGTCTAAGTCGCACTGGCCATGTGACCATGGAAGATTGTTTTCGGACAAAACACTGGCTCTATGGCTTGGAAATGGGGATGAGCACCGCCCCCTAGAGTCGAACACGACTGGACAAAAATTGTCAAGGGGAACCTTTACCTTTACCTTTATTCTCCGTTGAACTTCTGAGAAAACAAGGGACCTCCCTCATCATGGTAGATGTCTGGGAAAGGAATTCAACATGGTGCTTTCTTCCTCAACATCACTATTACTTAATTGTGTAATTGATAACGAAACACATAATGTAAGTGTTGCCATATTAAATTTACAGTGTATCTGTGGTGTTCACCCAGGTCATGAATATTCATATGGTATTTGCATAGACCAATAGGAGTGCTGTAGGGGCAGAGTCACAAGGTATAAGAGACTCAGCAGCAGAAGGAGGAGTTTAGATAAGGTTTAGAGAGGGTTCTAGAGATGGAGAATTAGAGTGTTAGAGAGTTTGGTAGAGTTTGGGTAGGAGAGTGGTGGTTGAGGGTGGATAAAGAAGAATGTTTGCTTAAGAGTTAACAACATTGCTTGTTCTGTCAACACCTGTATCAATAAACAATTTCTATTTGGTTCTTTTAAAATGACATGTGGCCTGGACATCTATCATTAATAATAGGCATTGTTGATGAAATCAACTGGTGGCAGCTGAGGGGCACGTAACGTGAGCTCCTAGTTTGGTGAAGCAATCAGGAGCCGCGTGGAATCGTGACAGTATTTAATGCTAATGTATCTGTTCCACTTTCAAGGAGATGAAACTTATTTTAACGACTGTGTTTTTACACTTGTTGAGCTTTGTGTGTAACCTCCAATTTAAAAACGAGTCTCTGGGCACAGGTAATTTTAGCTGCCATAACTACCTGTTCTTTCTTTGTTTTTGTAGTTATTAGGGTCTTGGAAAACAATACATACCTCAGTAATTTGCTGAAGGATATCCAGATGCCCTCCAAAGTACTGGAGACCATTTCACTGCATGGAGGACGTAAGTATACAAACCAAGTTTAACTCCTATGCATAATTAAACGAATTTTACATCTATTTGTATTGTGAAATAGCAAACACATAAGTAGAATGCCTTTGTGAAATCCTAATTTTTTAAAATTATATATTGAAAGGGAATATTTTTCATTTCATGCTCAGTAGTGCCTTTCCTTAAGAATCTTTCAACATTCAATTTACCATCAACCTGACTTCCCATGCTTTATGATCATTACATTTGCCAAGTGTGTATAGTTGAAACCAGTTGTGTTTTATTTCCTTTATGTGGCTAGGGGTTCTTATAATAAAGTAGCCTGCTTTCAGCTGGAGGCTTTCTTGGATGTCAGATACGTTGATTCAGGAAGGCCGGCATAGTTGGCACAGTGGAAAAGAATGAGCCTTCCATTGACGTTTGTGTCACAGATAGATATTGCCTAATTCATTCCCTCACAAACCTTATGCAGACATCAAGTACTGTACAAACGTCATTGTTAAATGGTTTGCCAATAAAGCTGTCAACCTGGCCTGTTACTGAACTGAAGTAAGGCCATTCAGCAGATAGTTTCTGTGCTGAGTCTGGAGTGGCATTGCACTTATTCCATAGGAGTAGTCCGTTGAACTTAGAGCAAGATGTTTCTAGCAAAGGGAAGGGAAACTAGTCTTTATATGTGACACTTCTTTTTCTGCAGCTCTTCTCTGTTCCTGGTTTTCTTTTTTCTGTGACACTTATACTCATGCAATATCCTCTGTGTTTATTTATGTTTGTGCTTCCTTCTGAATAATATGTCTAGTAGGTTGAAATTTGGAGTCTAAGAGGGCTTAATAAATGAAATATAGAGATAGCCTCTTTCTTGTCACTTGGATGTTCATCTTCTTGTAATCTGTTCTTTCCCCTCTCTTACTGCATCACCTTTCCTGGGTAGGAGCTAATGGGTAAGACAAAGTATTTGTTTTTCTAAACAGGCTGCAAATTTAAGTTTGTTTTGTTTCCAAATGAGAGTAGCCTTCAAGGACCAGAGTGGTATTAGCAGCACTGCAGAGAAAGGGGTTCAGACCACATTCCATACTCTTCAGAAGCATCTGTATTGATAGCCAGTGTAGTTGTTTTACATTCAAGATGACTATTTTCTTTTGCTTTAAAAAAGCAATGTTGTTTAACTTGTGCAGATAATTTTGCTGTTATCATTACAAGGTATATTTAAAAAGTAACCACCCCACATATTTTTCAGATGCATGGGCTTCTGTTTCAAATTGATTATATTCAACAGTGTCATTAATTTTGCCCTGTATATTCCCACACATCTCACTGAAATCTGAAGTAGCTTTCTTCATATTCTGTTAATAAAGCAACTCTCAGGACTTATTCTCCTGTTACATTCCCATTCATGATTTTCCTCATTTATTCTATCTGATCAGCATTCTTTCTATTTTGTGCATGGAGACTTCTTGCAACACCCACTCACTGGTCACCTTTTAATTCAGCAATTTGCAAGCCATCCATTTTTTTATCCTGAATAAATGCAGTAGCAGCAGTGTAGTTCTGTCTTACTTAGATGATACTGTGGAACTGAAGTGGCCCTCTTATGATTCAACTTAATACCAGCTTTCATTAGAAGTAATATGGGCATATGCCTTTCTGAATAGTTGGACAATGGAGAAAAAAGGGGGTAGACCTTCATTCAAAAAATAGTGTTAGACGGGAGCTTTACAGATCACATAGATTGCCTAGAAGACAAATAAGTGGTTCTTCATCAAATCAAGGTTGCATTTTCACTAGAAGCAAACATTACTAAACTGAAGCTCATGTGCTTTGTACCTGTTGTGGGAAGACATAAGCGCACTGAGAGGGCAATTATGCTGGGAAAAGTGGAAGGCAGTAGGAGAAGAGGAAGACCTAACACAAAATGGATTGATCCAATAAAGGAAACTACAGTCTTTACTTTGCAAGGCCTGAGCAGGACTGTTTGTGGTTGGACCTTTTGGAGGTTATTAATTCGTAGGATCACTACAAGTTGTAAGTGACTTGACAGCACATACTGGAGCAGCAAACAAATCCCAGTGTGTTCCCGAAGGTTTACTTCCAGGTTAAAACACATAGGATTGCAAACCAGGTTTGTAGGATGTAAACTGTGATGTCTGGGCAGTTCAATGTTGTATAAAGAAGGTTGTGATAATTCATCTGACTCTGGAATCAGTAGCAAAAACAAAACAAGTAGAACTTTTGATATATGAACACACAGTGCTTTTTCTAAAACTGCTTTAGTGTTTTCAACTAAAATAGGAGGGTGGGAGAGACATAGAGCTTGGCAGGATCTGTATTACAACCCTGTCCCCTTCCAAGGCCTTGCAAATAATGGCAGTTGGTTGCCACCTATATCGCTATTATATGGGCATCATATTAATGGGTACTGTACATTATACCCAGTTTTTTTTTCAGGAAAAAAATACTCTTTTTGTAAAGAAAGTAGTGATGTACCCAGTGTGGTGTAATGGACAGAGTGGGCTATTATATGGGCATCATATTAATGGGCGCTGTACATTATACCCAGTTTTTTTTTCAGAAAAAAAATTACACTCTTTTTGTAAAGAATGTAGTGATGTACCCAGTCTGGTGTAATGGACAGAGTGACAGACTAGGACTCTGGAGAACAGGATTCAAATGCCTGCTCAGCCACAGAAACTCATTGGGTGTGTGGTAAAACCACTCCTTAAAATATCTCACCATGAAAGCTCTGTTAGGGTCTCTACAAGTCAGTTCCAACAAGATGGCACATCACAGACAATGTGTACTGATGCAATGATGAGAAAGGGGTTGGCAAGGTCACTTTGACTGTTCCTGGTGAAACTTTGTCTTTCATGCAAAGGTATGCATAGCTGAGCACCTGCATGGTGGTTAACAAGCACAGTTATTTTATGGAAGGCTTCACTCCAGGAGGAACCCTTCCTTGGACATCCACCCTTTCTGGGTTTATTTCCCCCCCCCCTTTTTTGTCACTTTCTTTGCTGTGTTTCAAAGTTTCTGTGCTACTTTTCCTTTGCATGCTCTGTGTTGCAGATTGCATTGGGAGCAGCAGCCCCTGTCTTTTAATGTGAACTGTCCCTCTTCCCGCTGTTTCCCTCCGTCACCACTGCCAAAAAACCCCACACTCTCCAGCAGCACTTCAAACCAACAAGGCCTTCTCAGTGGCTGCTCCCAGGCTTTAGAATGCACTGCCCCAAGAAGCCAGGTTGGCTCCTTCCCTCTTGCCCTTCTGTTGTCAGGCAATGACCTTCCTTTTCAGAAAGGCTTTTAAGCAATAAGTAAAGATCTAGGTCACACATTATAACATTTAGATATATTTTTTATTTTTAAAAAATGTTTTAAATTCTGATTGATGTTTAATTGTTTTTAATATAGTTTTGTTATTACTGTACAGTTAAACTTGTTGTTGTAGAACGTGGCATATAAATAAAAGGGTGAACGAAGAAAGGAGGGAAGAAAGAGCAGAAAACCCAAGCAATATCCTATCTCAGTTGTCATGTTTCAAGCATAACTCTTCCTCCTCCTCTCCTTTTATATCCACTCATCTGGGAATAAACACCATCCTTTTTGTGAAAGTATGATTCAGACTGGGCAATAAAATGTGTAAAATTTCAGAACAGTAGGTGCAGGAGCTGTTAAATGATGATGGATATAAAACAGTATGAAATTTACTTGGTTTCTGCTCAGTTAGCAACAAAGTCACAGGAAGTGCAATAGGATGGAGTTGATGGTGGGCATCAAATGTACAGTGGCAAAGAACTGAACATTTAGCATTCCCAAGTGAGCACCTAGTGCTACATCCTCCTAGTTTTAGGAGAGCCTACTTCTTTCTTTCTTTCTTTCTTTCTTTCTTTCTTTCTTTCTTTCTTTCTTTCTTTCTTTCTTTCCTTCCTTCCTTCCTTCCTTCCTTCCTTCCTTCCTTCCTTCCTT